TGTGCCTGAGTCTGGAAATCTTGTTACATGAAGTGCTGCTTTTTTGGGTATTAAATTTTATGCCCTTGTGCACAATCAGTGCTTCTAGGATTTGCTGTTTTCAGCTTCACAGTCATGAAGTATTTATCTTCAGGTGTCATCCAAAACTCTAGAGGCTGCTCTGCTCCATGCTTTTTGCTGGAGTGTCTGCCTGGCAGGACTAGAGAAAAACAGGGGTTGGTTTTCCTCCACAAATGTGTGAGAACCTAAGGAATGAGCCCAGGATGGGGAGCTAGGAGCTCCTAAACTCAACTGCTTCCTCCACTATTGATTTCCTTGTTGGTCATGAGTAAATCCATTAAAATATCTGTGTGTTGTTTTCCTCACACATAAATCAAAACACCAAGGTTTCTCTACTTTGTAGTAATGCTGTGAATTCTGAATATTTGCGTCCTCCTTTGTAGAAAGAGCTTTGACAGAAACACATAGCAACAACTTTGTGCATAAGTTAAAATTACCATCCAGCTCTCCTAAACAGGCAGTTATAGCCACACACAGTAGCGAAAGATCCCCAGTCTTTACATCTCTTGGGAACCTGAGACTCTGCAAGCTCTGGGGTTCCTGCAGGGATAAGAATAGCTAGGAACTTGGCCTAGGTAGCTGTTGGTCATGCTTTTTTGTTCTTGCTATCAGCCTCTGAAGTATGTACTAGCAGCTGATTTGGGGATTTAAACAGATGTAGATCTGAGACTTGCAAAACTGGCTTTGCAGTGGGGTGATGATGATAACTGCTTAATGTGCTAGCTGTGCCTGTTAGTGATTAGTCAGAAAAGGATGTTTCCCACTTCTTAAAGTGTTGAGTGACTGCATTCATTCAAGGAAAAGGTCTGTGTTGGTGAGTTTGAAGGTTCTGAGTTTTTACTCTGGTGATGTCTGCGAGGCTTTGAATATGTCAAGGGTCCAGGTTAATGTTGAGTTTCGTACAGGTCTTGGATTTCTGCAAATCCCAGCTGTTGAGACTTTAGTTATGTGAATGTGTTAGAAAATAAATAATAGGTTTAGAGTAATATTAAGGAATGCAATGGAAGATTTAATTGCTTACATGTTCTAATCTGCTTTCAGATTCTGATTTTTGTAAATCTCCTATTAACTAAGTTAAAAATTAAACCTTGCAAGTCATGTGTAAATGAAGAGTTTGCAAGAATATTCTAAATGCTGTTTTACATAAATGTTATTTTATGCAGTTTCATTTTCACACGTGAACAGCTAGATACCAATTCAAGTTCATATCACTTACTATATACAGGGTTTCCCATCCCAACAAAATCAGGGGTTGATTCGTTGCTTCATGTAATGTAAACCAAGGATTCCTGTTGACTTGAGTCAAGCTATAAATTTAGCTATTCTAGGTTAACTGTGTTAGTATGCAGAGGCTTCTGGGTATGCTACCACTATTTAAAGCACATACAAGCTGTAAATATCACAGGGCAATTTGTAGAGCCTTGAGAAATACACATCTTAAGGGTCACGAGCTAACAAGTAACAGGTGGTTCACGACTCTCTGTTCTTCTAGACATCCATATGCCTAAAAGCGTATGGAAATACTGTGAGACCTCAGCCTAGTCAGGACTTTTTTCTCTTCATACATTGTGGAGAGAACCTGTATCACCTTTTCCCCTCCCTACTGACTGGTGATTCTCATGTGCTTTGTGGTCATAGCCATCACATATGCCAGATCATGCTAAAGGGTAGGACAGCATAGAAAAGCTGTGCTTGGCAAAAAGCCTTTTGTGTGGCCTGACACAAGCTACTGTGTCATAACTTGGAGGAATACTCAGTCAAGTTTTTCAGTGATGGGAGCATAATCTGTGCTCTAAGGTAAGCTAAGGTAAGCCTGGTAAACTGGTCATCCGCATTACCACTGGTAAACTGGTTAGGAATTAGTGGTTTGAAGAATACAGTTGTAGAGTATGTTGGCCTTGGGAGTTTTGTTGGAGATATGGGATGGACAGGTGTGGCTCTGGATTGGCCAGTGAACCCAAAAGAGATTTTAGTGTGTGGTGATCTGCAAATTTGAATGTCTATCCAGAGCAGCCAAAGGAGGAAGAAAAAAATTAAACAACTCCATAACAACATAAGAAACAGAAATAGGTGACAATATCCCAATAACAGGAAGGATACAAAGATGGATCATGTCCAGAATCACATTTCTGACAAGGGTCAGCAGCAGATAAGGAGTCTTCAGTGGTTGCCTTAAATTACTCTTTAGATTTGTAATCTACTCTTTGCCTTCTCCTTTGTTTTGACTAGACCAGTGAGGTTCTATCCTAAGTGGTGGATAAAGTGTAAATAAGCCCTACTAATATGTCTTGTACTGAGTGAACAATCGACACCTGCGCCCTCCTTTCCAAAGATGACAGATGTGTTTTCAGTGCTTTGCACTGTGGGGAAAGGGCACAGTCATAGTAATTGTTTGATTCCCGCCCTCAGCTGCTGCCTATTCGATGGGAATTACCCACGGGTACTTACAGCATGTCTCTGACTTGATTGTAATGCATTCCCTTGTGATGGATCAGGAGTGACTATGCAGGGGAAATATCAGTTGTTAAGGACTTCGCTCTGAATTCCAGAGCTACAGTCAATACCAGTCCTCCCTGCTTAGGCTGGTTGAACACTGACACAAGCATATGCACTCCTTGGTGGTAGTTAAATGTATTCAGAATAGGATAACAGACCCAAGCAATTTGGATAGGACATCCAGAGGCTGTGTAGTCCAACCACTGGTTCAGAGAAGGCTCAGTTAGAGCAGGCAGTACAGGAATGTGCATAATCAATTTTTAGTATTTCTAAGGATGGAAATTTCACTGTCTCTCAAAGCCCGTCCTAGTGTTTGACCATCCTGAAGATGAAATATTCTTTCATATAGAACGAGGATTTCTTGTATTCCAGCTGTATTTGTTGCCTCTCATCCTTCTGCAGACCTCTGAGAAGAATTTGTCCCTGTCTACTCTATAGTTTCCTGTTAAGTTGTTACAGAGTACAATGAGATTTCCCTCAAGCTGTCTCTCCTTAAGGCAGAACAAACCCAGCCCTAGCGTCTCCATACACATCACCTACTCTAGCACCTTGTGTGTTGTGGTAGCTCTTTGCTGGACTTACTCCAGTATGTTAAAACTGTTTTTATACAGGGGAGCTTAATACTGGCCAGAGTACTCCTGATGTGATCTCACAAGTGTCCTTTAAATAAAGAATCACTTACCTCAGGCTGCTGGCTGCATTTTTGCTAATACAGCCCAGAATGTGGCTTGCCTTTGCTGAAAGGGCTAACTTGTGCTCAACTTGTCTATGGGGGCCCTCAAGTCTTCTGTAATGCTGCTTTTGTGCCAGTTGGCTCCCAACTTGTGCTGTTGCGTGGAGTAATTAGTCTTACTGTTTGCTTGCAGAAGTGTATAGACACATAGTTCACTTACATAAATACAAACACACATTGCTGCCACCTTCAAAGTGCCCGGAGTTTTAATAAGTTCATTCTGTGATACCCTCAGTCAAGACTGCAAAATTCTCTGCTTAAAGCAGACCTGTCACTTGAGGATGATATATGTTCATTTTGCAACACTCTGCTATTTTGTCAGCACTGTTTCATGCTGCGAGGGCACAGATTTTACCATGTAGTTACTTTTCAAGAACAGCTATGACAACAGGTATTTTCACTTCAGTTTTGTACTAATAAATTCTGGCTAATCTGTATTAGTGTTAATAAATGAGACAAAATGAAGCAGAGAAATGCTATTAATGTCTGTGACAATAGCACGAGCACTTGCTTTGTGCAGCAGATTGTAAGCAATGATAGCTTGACTACTTGTACCATCCAGTTATTCATGCTGAGACTTGCTTTCACAGCTAGGAGTCAGGAAAGTGCTGCAGTAAGGAGTGGGAGGGTCGGTATATACTCCCTTGTAAGTACCATTTTCCCCCAGATGGTAATGGTAGAAATGGGCTACAGACAACTCTCCTGCAAGCTTTACTATCACTGTCCTATGTTTCTTATACTGGACAGAATCATGGTACACAGCTGACTCGAGGCACGTGAGCACAGTACAGCAACAGAGCTGGTACTGAGTGACAATGGAAGCCCAGGTACTGGGAAGCAGAATTCCAGCTTTACACAAAGTATTTTTATGGTATTCAAATGCTGCCTCCAATTGCTAAGACATTAGTTCAGTGGTTTTCCTTACTGTACTTAAGATTTATTTTTTTTTTCTTAATAAGAAAATACTTCATGTCACATGCTGTGAGTAATTCCCTCCTGTTTCTTTGCTGTATGAAAAAGGTATGCTTGTCTAGTACAGATTTTTTGGGTAAGGTGATCAAACAGGCAAAGTTCTGAGATGTTTACCAGCAACATCATTACTTATGACTGTAGGCAAGATGTTTTATGTGGGCTTCCCTCGTGCTCTAAGAGAAGGAAACTATAGGACACTTCATGTGGTGCTCTCATCTGCTTGGTGTCTCAGTTGAAAGAAAGGGGCAGCTCTGTCAGAATTATATTCTGATGCTTGTTTTAAACTGCCTGGCAGGTGGGTTAAGGTGATATTAGCAATGAATCTTGATACTAATCTTTGGGAAATGTTGGTTTCTTTTGGAGCAATGCGTGCATGATGGTCATGTTTGAATAGTAGGGTTTTCTATCATTCTCCTAGAAAAGATGTGAAGTGTCTTACAGCAGTGTCTTTAAATGTACTTTTCCTAGCCTCCACTGCATACTTTTGAATGGTCCCTATGGTGACAGTGCTGCAGTGAAACTGAAAACACAGCACTGAAATTCTTCAGTACTGAGGACTCTGCCGTGAATTCTCTTGATAGCCATATTACAAGAGGAGCTGTACATAGCATGCCATGATATATAGTTGCATAGAATATTAACAGTCCTATGTGTTTGCTTAGAAATTTCACGACAACCCTAAATCTGTTCTTGGCTGACTGCTGAGTAGTTCTTTCATTTCCCTTTTTCCCCAGCGCGAGATGAGAACATGGCCACTTTCCGTGGTTCCGAATACCTTTGCTATGACCTGTCGCAAAACCCCATCCAGAGCAGCAGTGATGAGATCACTCTCTCCTTCAAGACATGGCAACGCAACGGGCTCATTCTGCACACTGGCAAGTCAGCTGATTATGTCAACCTGGCCCTGAAAGATGGTGCAGTCTCGCTGGTCATTAACCTGGGGTCTGGGGCCTTTGAGGCCATTGTGGAGCCAGTCAATGGCAAGTTCAATGACAACGCATGGCATGACGTTAAGGTGACACGCAACCTGCGGCAGGTAATGGTGAAGGGGAGAAAATGCTGGGGAAAAAATTGTTCTGTTTTACTGGGACAGGCACATGGGAGAAAGTAATGGAGAAATGGGGATGCTCAGTGGAATCACTAGAATTTCTTTACCTTTTCTGAATCTTGTTATCTAAAAGGCAGTGAAAAAACATTGGTTGATGGGAATTTATCCCTGTTGCGCTATCTTCATTTCTGCTTTATTATCTTTTTTTTTTTCCAGTTTGATTTAATAATAAAAACTTGTGACATAACTTTACTTTCATCTCCCTTTTCCCCCCACCTCTTTTTCTGTTCTCCCTTTTTATTTTATTATTTCCTTAATTATGATTTAATCTTATCAGTAATATTCTTGTTGCATTTAATTATTGTGGGAACAGTTTTTTTCCTGCAGCCAACACTCTACACCTTTCTCCTTTTTGTTTCTGTTTTGTTAATTGGTTTAACCATTGCCATGATGTCATAATTCTAATTCTGGAAGTCTTTTGTTTTAAATTTACTTTTTCTTTTGTGTGTAAATGTGAGTGTGCAGGTATGCAGGCTGCTGGGTACATGTGTAATTATGTTAACTTTATAGCTTTGGAATTAATTGGCTGGAATCTTTCTGAGTCTTCTTGATTCTCTGTTCTTTTCTTCTTTTTGATTTCTTCCTCCTTCTTCCTATAATGAGATTCTACTTTATTTCTTGTCTCTGCCTATGAGACTCTTCTGTTGGCTGTGAGGACTGGAAAAATGGAAGGATCAAAAAAACCAAGCAAACCCAGATCAATCCACCACCCTACAATTCCACTTCGGAAAAGTTTTTCTGATTTTACCGCTGTAATTTTGCACATCTGCTTGCTACTTTTCTTAAGTAGACAACTCTATCAGGTGATGTATTTGGTAGTAGGCTAGTCTTACAGTCCTGAAGCCTTCCTCATGAAATATAAATTCAGACATAGATAGATAAGATAAAATTAAATATCCTTGCTCTGAAAGCTGGTAAATATATCAAGTCACTAAGGCCCATCCACTGCATGATAGATGAGGTTTACACTGTGAATAGGAGTTATTTGGCATCTTGCTGATTGGCAGCGGCAGCAGAAATAATCTTATAAACTAAGATATTAAAATATTTTTTTGAAAACAGTATGATCTATTTATTTGTTCATTAATGTGAATATTAACACAGCCCTTAATAGTTTTATTTAAGCTTACACAATGTCATTTGCTGAGAAAATAGCTTTTGTGGTAACATTTTACAGTAGCTAAGATAAAATATATCTGTCTATAGGATAATCAGTGTCAGGGATCAGAAACAGTCTCTACTAGTAGATGACAGTGGATAATTTATCTGTTACGGGGATTTAATACTTTTTAAATATTTGGGTTTGGGGCTGAACTTATTTATCTTTCCCATGTGAATCCCTGTATTTCTACATGCTCAGGATATCTGGGTCTTTGACAAAAAAATCTGTCATTGAACTTCCATGACACTGCAGGGTTCCTACTTATGGTAACATGAGTCTGTTTTCAATAGGTTATATGCAGATGCAGATATGATTTTTTGATGCAGCGGATGGATCTTAATGATCCTATTCTGTTCAAATGTTCCCACCAGTCCAGTAGAGGGAGAGGCACCAGCTGATTGACGTTTGTCAGTCAGGAATATATGGCTTTATTTGATGCTGTTTTTTTTTTTTGTTTGTTTTTAGATGGTTCCAGAATGGCTGGTCTCCGAATATCTCGGTGTAGCTTACTGGCCAATTTAGTTAGTCATACTTTTTAGTTTTTGTCAGAAATCAGTTTTCAATGGGAAACTGTATCTGAAGTGAAATGCATCCTTGCATCATGTCAGGATTGATTTTGATCATGAAGCAGAAGGTGAGGAAGGGTGACAGGTAAAACTATGGATGAGAAGCTCTTGCTTTCTTTTCCTAATCTTTCAGCTAGTGATTTTTGTCTTGTCTGCGGTTAAATGGAAATATGTCTATACCTGTTCATCTTTGATTAGACCAGGACAGTGCTTTGGTGATTACTAGAAAGCAGGTTAAGCAGTTACTTAACTTGCTAGTTAAACAATACTGCAAATTTTTAATCCTCCTTATCTATTAGCTATGGATGATATTTTCATGTCATCCTGAATTCTTAAAGGGTCCAACTTGACTGGTCAAGAGAGAGGATGTTTTAGTAAGATGCCTGTGCTCTTTCCAAAGAAAGGCCAGCCTTGCAATCATGTTAAAAGTAAGTATGAGAGATGATTTGGGGTCCAATTCTATAGGTAAACATGACAGAATACAGTTTGACCAGTAAGTATCATTAAGGCTGGAATTTTTTTGAGTCACCTTTTCCTGGATACTTCCATTTTGGCTTCTGATCAAGTTCAGTCCCAAAATAAAGATATTGGCCCAGAACTTAAAAATTCAGAGTTTGGAATCAATGAGGCCTTAGAGAAGAAGCAGGATTGCTAGTCCTGAAAGTTGTCATCCAAAAATTCTTGGTAAGTTGAGCCACAGTTTTCAGTAAGGAGAAACCTTGAACGCTGCAGCCTTCCTGTCAAGACCTATGTATTCTTACTTTTAATTTATATTAGTGGAAATGAAGAAGTCTTAAAAACCTTCAGTCTTCAAGATAAAGAGTTTGGAAAAGACTGAAAACTTAAATTACTATTAACTAATTAGTACCTGCTATAGGTATTTTTCAGGACGCAACTAAGAATGTTTACTCTGTATCTTGACCTTATATATGCTTAATTTAACAACAACAACAAAAGGGATAAAGTTACCATTCTAAAAGCACATGGTAAAGGAGTTCTGTTTTGCTCCATTTTGACAGTAGCTTCCAGCAGCTTATATGTCGTGGGTTTGCCTGTGTGTACATGAAAGTTTATCTGTAAAATACTTCACTTTTTTTCAGACAGGCTATAAACCTGTGAAGTCCCTTTGATACCTTCGCATAGAAGATGAAATAAAGGATAAAGATTATTTATCATTAGTAAAGTTACACATTTTGTCTTTTTTTTCTTACCCTTTATGGTAATAAATGCAATAAATTTACCCTTTATTGCATCCAGTATAAGTTTGTATATCCTAAATAATTTTGTATTTAAGAAATCAACTACTCTGCATCTTTCCTCACATAAATTTGCCTGTAAAGTTGCAGTGTGATATAGGTGACTTGGAGGTCTTGTTTCCAGCAGGGCTCATGTTTTCTCAGAAAACCCCACCCCAAACAAATGAAAAAATCCAACAAAACCATTGCCCTTAAATATTGAAGCTCTATAAGGAAATCAGTATGCTCCCTGTAATTGGTTGAAAACATTGCACTGAAGATAAATATGTTTCTCTTTAAAACGAACTTAGATAAATAAATTCAGATATCCCAACAAGATGATCCAAAGTTAAAACAATTCCAGGTAAATGGGCTATCAGCAACTTCAGGATGCCATCTAGTCTTTTTCCTCTGCTTTTTCTGGGGCTGGGAGGAGGGGGAGGAGGATTTGCATAATTTTTTGGCTGTTACTAGAATTAGAGCAGAACTTTAAATAGCTGGACTTTTGCCCAGTACTTTTTGGAATTGTTAAATGTTTTGTAGCTAAGCTAGGAGAGCACTAAATGCTGGTGTTTTTTTGATCTAATGGTTATCACAGCAGTTAATCTCCTTAGAGACAAACCAAGCGAACCCACAGATTCCCTTGAGTGGTGATTGTTAATGTCAAAGCAAATCTCCTTGTTTATTTATCTTATTATTTCAGTTAAATCTAAGCCCTCTTTCTGCCCTGTGAGAAACCTTTACTTAGAAATAGGATCATTGCTGTATTTTACCAAGGCTTTCAGAGCGTGTTTAGGGCAGTGTGGCCTAGTGGGAGGAGGAGAAGTGGAGGGGACTGAAGGTCAGGCTTCCCATGTCTGTCTTCAGGTCTGCTGCTGGCATTGTCTCATTTTTAGCATGCTCTTCCCCCTTTCCTGTACTTCAATTCCCTTGTTTGTAAAAATGGTTTTACTTATAAACATATCACTGAGAGTAAGACTTCCTTGATGAAGAATTCTGGAGTTTGTGCTCATTATACCCAAGTACAGAATATTATTATTTCATTCCCATACATGAATAGACTTGGGACATTATGTTCAGTGCCACAAAGTTTTCACAAACTCTCTGAAATTTTCAAGCAGATAGCTTTTACATGAGGCCGCATAGAACTTGCTTGTGTAATTTAGGATAGTCTTGGCAACTTCAGTCATACTGGAACAAGAATGTGGAGCCACCACAGGCTGCATTTCTCTATTAACACTGAAGCTAGTCACTATGCAAAATCTACTATAAAGATCTTGAGTTCCCCAGCTGCTAAAAGGCAAACAAGAAACAATGTGTACGGTTGAAGAGTTGTCATCCCCATGCCTTGGGAAGGGTCAGGAAAACATCTGTGAAGGTCTGCTATACCCCACTAAATAAACTGACTGATAAATTCTCCTAGCTCCTCCATTATATAGATGTAGGATAACAGGAGAGACACTAAATCTTGTCAGTCTTCTGTCTTCAACCTTGGCACAAGTGACACAATTCTTCCTACACAATTCCTTGGCGCATTTCTGCCTACAGTATGAGAGGTTCAGTTCCTATACTCTCCAATGACAGAAGAGAGTTACAGGCAAACAGCCAAGCACAGGCATTTTTGTGTGCTTCTGAAAGTCACAAACTCCCCTGCTGTAAAGAAACCTGCAGACTGGGAAACTTGGAAGGAAGACTCGGAGTCTTGGACTCGTTTTCATCTGTGTCCTCCAGCCAAAGGAAATATTTGCCTACAGAGTATCACAATACTCTGCAACGCTTGAGGGTAGTGAGGCTTGGAAGAGGAGCAGGAATATAGGTGGGTGGTGCTGGGTGGAAGGAGGGAGCCATGGTTGGGTTTGTGCTGAAGGGGCTAATTATGTACTCTGTGTGTGCATTTCTGAGGGGTAAGGCTCTTGTTTGAGGGAAGCACCTTGATGGGCATTTGCAGAGTAAGTATTGTACTGTTTTAACTTTGCTTCAGTCCTGGATAATGTATATGAGGGTTGAAGTTAATGACTAATACCAGGGTGGGAAGACTAGGCAGCACCCTTCTTTACAGTCTAGATGGCATGGTTCCCCATAAAGTCCTGGTCATATTGTCCTCTTTCTCACTTTGTGTGTCTCAGGTGCCCCATGCCTTTTTTTGAAAGACTAACACTAGACCATTCATGCAATGTGTCATTTTTACTAACCAACTAATGTACTAACACCCTAACGACTCATCTTTGCTTTTAGTTATTTTAATTAACAATCGTTCTGTTCACTATTTTTTAATTTCCTTTCTTCCCCCTTTTCCGCAAAGCACTCAGGCATTGGACACGCTATGGTAAACAAACTACATTGTCTGGTAGATATCATTCTTATTGTCTCTTTTTTTGGGTTTGCCGTGTGTTACCTGCCTTTTCCTTCCCCTACCCCCTCTTTTTCCCCCTCCTTTATACTTAACTTCTTCCTTTAATTTTATTTTGATTTCATTGAAAACACTTTTTTTTTTCTCCCTCCTTTTTTTTCCTCCCCCTTCTTTTTTAATGAAAAAAATGAGCAACAAAAACAACTTGAGCAACTCTCCTGGAAATGGGGTTTGGACATTGCTTTTATTGGTTTCTTCACCTCCATCTTCAGTTCTTCTTTTCCATTCCAGTGGTAAATTGTTGGGTTTTTCGTCCCTGGCTTTTGGGTTCAGCTTTCTCTCTTTTGCTTTAGTTTGCATTATGCTTTTTTCTCCCCTTTTAGTTTTTACTTTTTACTCTGAAGGTTTCTAGATCAGAACCATTGCAGGGCCTCTAGTCCATGGTGGTGAAGGCTCTCATTTTCTCTCATCCTTTTGTTATGGCAACGGCTATTACAGGCAAACTGGCCAGAGTTGTCCTCTTTCTCCTGATTTTCCCCCATTTCCCTCCCTCCTCTTTCTCTCCTGCTCTTCCTCCCTCTTGCTCTGTCTCTCACTTTCTCTCTCTCTCTCTGACCTCTACCTGCCGTGGCCGACAGAAGCTCAGCCGGTCGTTTGTTTCAGTACACACTCTGCATGGCATGTCCACGTCTGGTGACTCGCCTGTCTCCTCCTGGCCTCGATCCATTTTCCTCCATCTTCCCTTGAAACCACTAACAACACCCAAGCAAAGCACATCAGATTCACTTGCTCCTCTCCCTCCCTCTCCTTCCGCCCCTTTTCACCCTCAATGTGTTTGGGGTTAGAGTTTTTGGGGACATTTCTGTTTTGCTTTGATTTTTTTTTTTTTTTTTTTAGTGTTGGGGTTTGTTTGGTAGTTTTATTTTTGATTGCATGAGAGTGTGAAATAGTTTTCTCTCTTCCTCCTCATCTGTCTTTCTCTTCTCTCTTTTCCTTGCCATCTTTCTGGGCTTCCAGATATATTGGCATGACATGTCTAAGTGCAGTGTGTGCACGCCTTGTGTTTGTTTTCTTTTTTTCTCATCTTTGCTTCCGTCACACTTATTGGTGTGTGGTTGTTTTATTTTGATTTATTTTATTTTTATTTATTTCCTGTTTATATTTTGGTTATGAGATTTTAATAATTTTATTTTTTTATTTCCTTTTTTTTGGGGGGGATGGTGGTTGTGTGTCTCTCTAGGTACATGGCATGCACATCCATAATGTATTGAAAGTGAGATCCCTCTCACCCTTCCCTGAATGCATGATTGTCAGTGTGCCGTGAGCAAAAGAAACATTAAAAATAAAAAATACCAACCTTGTCTTCATTAGTGTTTGTTCTTTCTTTTTTTTTTTTTTTTTTTTTTTTTTTGATGATTTTTTTTACTAACAACCATAACTAACTGTAATAAAATAAATACTAATTAATCATAAAATCCACTAATATGAGAAATCTCTTTCAAGGACAGCTCCATTTTCTGGCCTGAATAGATGGAAAGCATCTAGATGGGTAGACTGCCAGGTCAGTCTGACTGTGCTGGTACACCAGAAGGAGGACAAGCAGATGCTGGAGCATTTCCATTGTGGGTGAATCAGACCAGAAAATGGAGATTGGCTGAACTAAAAAAATACATGCCAAATCTCAACAAATTCCTTAATAAAACTGACATAAAATTATAGGGGAGGTAACTGCTTCTGCTCAGAATTGTAAGGTCATTGCTGGGATTTTCTTTGTCCATTGTGTTCCTCGAACAGGTGACAATCTCTGTGGATGGCATCCTTACCACCACGGGCTACACACAGGAGGACTACACCATGCTCGGCTCTGATGACTTCTTTTATGTCGGAGGGAGCCCTAGTACTGCTGATTTACCTGGCTCTCCAGTAAGCAACAACTTCATGGGCTGCCTCAAAGAGGTAAATATTTGAAACTGATTCTTGTTTCTGTGCTCTTGGCTTCTCAAAATCATTGCTCTTTCCTGCTTTTAATTACACACTCAAGGTGTTTCCCTGATGCTGAATTTTACGCTGATACTGCAACAGCTCTGTAAGGGTGAACTTGTCATTCATCTGGACAGAAGGCATAAGCTGCAGAACTCATGAATTTATGATCAGAATCGGACTTCTAGTGCTTGAATTACAGGAAAAGTACCCCTGGTAGTAGGAGAGGTGTCTTCTGTAAGATGTTAACCATTCAGAAGAAAGTATTAGAATCTTCTAGACATTAAAGCAATAAACATTAAAAAGAAGATAAATGGCCTTTGATTACTAAGCAGCATTTTTGGACTTAAAAATCATAATCAGAAACTTATTTAGGATATTTTTAAGGGCCTGGATTTCACCTAGGAATATAGTTAGATGTAAATTTTCCAGGAAGATAGAGAGTTAGAATAAACCAGAAAAATAAAGTTACATGTAGCATAAAATATATGTGTAAATTATATGAGGAGAATGCAGCAAGAGGGTATAATGAAGTAGCATGTGGACTTGTGGTATACTGTGTTAGTTAGTAAATCCCAGCAGCAGTTTCTGCGTTCGTCAGGAACAGTTAGCTGGCGCAGTTGTTGTTCAGCTATTATGCCCTGCAGTCAGCTTTTGTCATCTTTCCTATCTCTTCTAACAGAATTGTGATAATCACCGTCAGTAATGTTGATACAGACATTGACATATCCAAAATGTGCTATAGAAAGCTTACTGAAAAGCAACGTTAAGTTTTCTGTCAGTCAACTTCTTAGTCTGGAGTAAGAGTTTCTTGCAAGAGTTTTCTCCCTAATGGTGGTAATACCGTTTTTCACAGGGTGTGGCTGGGTGGGTCCAAGTCGTTTGCAGCCTGGAGGGTTGTCATAATATCCTCGTTATATGAATGTTTAATATCAGGGGGAAGGTGGAGCTGAGTTTTCAGACAGGAGTCATGGAAACGGCGATGCTGAGCTAGATGATGTTCTATGGCTGTAACTGCCTGACAAGTTACCATCCTGCTGATTCTCAACTCGTGGTGTTGGGGGTTGTATGTTATGTGCCAGTCCTTCGATGCGAGCAATGGCTGTCAGAGTCTGGAGCTGCTCCCTTGCCTGACCTCTGGATTAGTTAAGGGGATGCACATATGCTGGAAAAGAAAATGTGAGCATCTCACATAGTGAATCTGCCTCGCTGAATATAAACTGTCACACACAGATCGAATCCTTCTGTTTTCATCTGTAGAGCCTTGGGCCTGATTTTTGTAGGCACTGAGCATCCCAGTTTGATTGAAATAAAGAGGAGATACAGCTTCTTAGTGTCTCTTTAAATCAGGATCTTAATTTTATTTATGGATGCTCTGAACATAACACTTAGCCGAGGCCATTTTTATGTGTGCTTTAAGTCAAGCCAATAGAGCAGAGAAAGCGGTGACAAGAAAATCTTCAGCAGCTTTGTTATTTATATAATCATTTGTATTCTATTAGCTAGCACAATGTGCTAAGAGCTGCTTACATAGCAGTCCTGGGCTCATAATGCTCTGTGAGAAGAAAAACCCAAGCAACCACTTAAGAATGAGAGGGAGAGGAAGAAAACAGATAATCAGAATGTACCTTGTAATCTTCGCTTGACTAGGCAGTGACAGAAGTTGTGTTTGAGCAGCTGTCTTGACTTAATACAGGCTGGTGCTGGCTGGATTTGGGCTATAGTCTGCTTAATAGCAGTCTACGCTTAGTGGTGGTCCAGTGGTGCTTTCACCTGCTGTGAAAATATGCCGAAAATGTACCTTACCTGGCCTCTGAGGTCAAATCCACTATACGCTATTCACTAAACATCAGTGTAGCGCAGGGCTGTCGGGGGTGCACCTGGAAGTGAGATGAATGGAAAAATGTAATATTTCAAATGGGAAGCCATGAAACTAATTAGCACTTTGTGTTTCATTCCTCCATACCCCTTAGGCCGCTGGATGAATTACCACAGGTGTCACTAGGAAGCATAAGGAAACTGACTATTGCACTTTTCCTCATTCGGGTTTTGGCAAGCAGAGGTGACAGGGAGCTGCAATTAATGGAGAAAGAGCAGCACTTAAAGGACTGTCAGAATCGTGATAAAATCCAGAAGTGCTGCCAACACTGACACCTGCACAGATCAGGGTCTGACCAAAATAGATAGCCTGTGTAGGCTGAGAAGGGTTCTTGTTACTCCCAGACATCAAAGCAGGCAGTGCTTTCATTAAGTGGAGCTTCGGATGAGTCGAGCAGAAAGTAGTTTGCCTTGTGAAATTCCTCACAGAGTTGTTTTCCTCTTCTTTCCTTTGTTAGGGATGAAAACACTGATGGCAAAGGTAGCAGGATCAACCTGAGATCCACCTGGAATTAGGGGATGGTTCTTTTGAATGTTTTCTTTCTGTTTACTTCTGAAATGCCAGGGTATAACTATGTAATGCAATGCAGCATGGTATGAAAGAAACCTGAGGTGGCTTGAGAAAGCTAGAGCACCTGTGGGGATCGGACTGCCCCCCAGCAGCAGCCAGCTTTGATCCTTGAAGAGGCAGAAATGTGTTAGTGCAGTGCTTATGTGCCTATAATGTTTCTAGTTCCAGAACTGACGACAGGGAACTTGTCTCTCCGCATAGCATGGCAGTGTATTTTTTAAATCAATTGCTGTAAGTTATGTTTTAAAATTCTTTCTGTGGACAAGAAGAATGCTCGGCTTCTGATCAGCCAGTACTGGAGGAGCTTGAGCTGTTACGAAAAATATTTTGAATTAATAAACAGAGGGGTAAGATAGACCTTAATAGCAAATATTGTTCCTTTAAGTTTATGCTTTCTAGTAAAGTAATGCTCTTTTTTCCTACCAGAGTCATAGCTGAGTAATCACCTGTTCCCAGAAGCATAGTGTATCCCAAGTGGATTGCACTGCTGTTTGTAATGGGGAAGAACATCTTGCCAAGGCCTGTACTGATCTCTTGAAAGTGTTAAAGCAGAAGAGTCCATTCCTACTCCTCTGCATTCATTTAAGACTTCCTTGAGAGATGTCTCAGTTTCCTAGGAAGGCAAAGGGTTGATGCAGGCTTTGGGGTGAAACTTTAAGCCTTCCCCCTGTAATCTCTCTTTCTTCATCTGGACTGCATCAGTCTCCCAGTGCAGCAACAAAACTGCTCACATGGGAGTGAAGAGGGCTCCTTGAGTGGAGCATTGCCTTTCCACTTCCTCTGAGATGACATGCAGCTGCTGAAGTGCCATGGGATGGAATGCCTAATGACCCTCTCTGCCCTTTTGCAGCTGGTAAGGACTTCTCTGCTTAGCTGGGGTTGGTAGGAGGAGGGGGACCTCTGACAGAGTAGACACTTCATGTGGTCAAAGTCTAAGCCTTGACTAAGGAGGAATTGGAATGTGTGAGAGTGTGCTTCTGGAAAGGAACCAAGGGTCTTGGGGCTTTTCTGCTGCAGTATCTAAATAAGCTGTGGTGAAAGTAACCATGTTTTCTTTGGATTGTCTAAGCTAATGTTTCCTCCTTTGACCACAGAACAGATTCTCCTGCCTCTTCTTTTCCTTGTGGCTACTAGTTCTGATTGAAGAGATTTCACGAAGTTGCTAGCAGTAATATAACTAAATCATAAATCCAAGTGCTGAATGTGTAGTTCAGGTTGTTGTGTTGGTGGTATTATTATAATTATTATTATTTTTCTTCATTTTCATCAGAATTAAAGGGCCCCAGTGTCTGGTAGCACTGTTTGTTTTACATTTCCCTGTGGCCATCTTGGCAGTATTGCAGTATACCTGACTGTTATGAGGAAACAAGACTGGAAAATAGAAGTAACATTTTTCATGAAAATTTAAAAGGCAGAACATGCAAATAGGGCACACACAGACATCAAATGTGGACGTTGCACTGTATTTGCATAAAATCTAAGGCTTTCTGGAACTTCACCCTTAAATTGTTCCAGAGGAACTCCGAAGGGGGAAGCTGATGTATTTCCTATCGTGGAGGAAACCAGGTGTAGAAATAGGGTAGGAGGAGGTACAGAAACACATCTGAGGCAAGTGAGCAGAAACATTTTTTTAATGGCTGTCAGGGAAGGACTGACATTGCTTTAAGAGTCAGCGAATGTATGAAATGGTGGAAAGGGAGAAGGATCCATTAATAGTTCTTAAGGACACCCATATGGCCAGAAGGACAAGAAAGATAATGACAAAACAGCTATGTATTGCATATACTGGAGAGTCTCAGGGAGAAGGTTCCAGTGATCAGGGTGGAGATAGAGAGTGGCTGGGTGGGAAATATAGCTGTATAAGCAAAGAGGGAAAACTGGATTTTGATCTCCAGTCACTAGGGAAAGGAGGTAATCAGAGTATTTTCTAGGCTCTATTAGGGAGCCAGCCGTTCAGATTTGATTTACTTGGAGCAGTACTTTGATGATACAGATGGAGGTGCTTTAGAAGAGCTGAAGGTGGTCCCTGGAGAATGGATATGCATGAGAGAATTTATGAAAACTTCACATTTTTCTATCAATGCTTTATTAAAATCTCAATTCTGGAAAATGTTGATTAGTACTAACAGCTTGATGGAAGCAGTGAGGTTTGCATATGGGTGGAATATGGCAGAAATTATTGCAGGGGTCAGGCACCATCTGGCCGTGATGGGAGAAAGCTGTGAAAGCTTAGATCATTTCTGCCTGAAATTTAACTGCTAGGAGCCAGATTTCTAAATGGTTCATGAGTGTGCCCAGTTGCTGTATGTACATTTCGGATGCTCTCTACAAGCCAGGTCTTTTTCAGGCCTGTTTGCATGTGTAAAGATGGTGTGATTTCTGTTTTTTTTCTGGTTCGATTGTCACACTGGGGAAGAGGCTGAAGATGCCTAAAGGGCTGAAGCCTGAAGGGCTAAAACACAGACGCAGGGAAGAACAGTCCAATTGTGAAGAGGGCATATGGAGGAAGTTGCAGCTGTAAGCCTAA